ATTACACAAAACCGATACTACTGCCCGTGTCCAACCTTCCTTCTATGTTGGCGTTGTTCTGAGCTACTAGTAGCATTTCTGACTGCAGAGGGAGGACTTTTGAAAGTTTGAAACTCAATCCGGCCAAGTTCTTGAGCACTATCAGACAAGCTGATCATATTGTAGTATGTTGTACTACATATTACACCAACCCTGTCCAGCACACGTAACCTCAAGTCAGTGTCATTTGATCCGTCAAAACTACTTTTTCTTATAATCCTTGCACTTGTTCTGTGGTGAGGATGATAGTACTTTAACACAAGCGAGAGGGACCGTCGTGGACGTGTATTACAGCCTAAGAACCGGGGAAGCTGCACTAAGGAAAGGTCCAAGACCATTTTTGGTTTTTGAGCCTTCAAATGACAATTTTTAGAGAAACACTATAATTTTAAGACTCAGTAAGTTGGTATCCAAGCAATTTCGTGAGCAATCATACTTGGCACGCAATTTCCAGCATAAAAAGAGAGTAATTTAAATCCTAAGGAAAACGGTCAAGGAAAACCATCCTGAACTGGATGGACTCGAATGGAGGCCGTGAGCAATCATACTTGGCACGCAATTTCCAGCATAAAAAGAGAGTAATTTAAATCCTAAGGAAAACGGTCAAGGAAAACCATCCTGAACTGGATGGACTCGAATGGAGGCTGAAATTTGCTGCATAGAGCTGGAGCGACTGATTTTTGAGCCTTCAAATTCTGTGGTCCCTTCAGATGTTTACTTAAACCCTTATTTTGTACTCGTACAAGTTTGTTGACCATTTTATCAAGATAGCACTAAAGAAAAACGGTTTCAAAACAAGACAGATATGACGGAAACTAATAGCGTTGGGGTCTTCGCTTGTGAGCCCACGACTCCATCTTCTGTTCAGCTTTGCCGAAACACGAACTTTGGCCCGTACGGGATTTGGGGATGGACAATTAGCGTCTGGAACGAATCAATGGACAACATAGACCTCTCGAAAATGGGATAAACTGGTAGTTTGACTTACCAGGCTCTCATAAATCTGCTGTCTTTGTGTCGTTCCGCGTAGGAGTGCCCAATAGCTGGTTGACTACTCGGCAACGGTACTGGGGTAGCACAGTGACCGTTATGAGAGGATTGAAAATCTGTAAATAACAAGAGTTACTATTGAAGTTCCAGTTAATCACTTAATACAACCAGTTCTTTTATCAAATGTTACGCTGGTTTTACCGAAAGATTATACATTAACAAAGTAGTAAGTAAAAGAATAATTTCATCGAAATGCCCAGGAATTCAGCTTAGGAAACGCTGCAGCAATTATTGGCTTGAGAGTTATTTATCATTTGGGATGAGTCTATTTTCTGTTTACTTCGATGCTGCAGTTGAGAAACAGGTCCAATTCCCCAATTGACTACGCTTTTCCATCTGCTCCAATTGTCTTTCGTTAATATTTTTTTTCCTGGTCACTACTGAGCTCCCTGGAGTATATTGTTGTTCACTTAATTTTTGTTTATCGGATAATCTACGAACAAACGGATGTGCGAGAAAGTAAACAACTACTAAATAAAAAGAATAGCACAAAAGCTCAAAAGTCGACGAGACAGCTTCCTCTCATGAGGAACAGAAAACGTGATTACCATGGAATTTGGCAGACGGATTCCATAAAAAAAA